GCCGGGAATCCCAGCTTTGCCACTTTTGACTAGCTGCCGATGGGTTTTCATCCGCTTCTCCGCCAATAGGGATGCTAATATTATCTTGAAGGGTACTATCACAAAGATCTCACTGGCTCTGTGCCTTACAGATTATTTGTATCTTCGGATATTCGATAAAATTCTAAAGCCCGATCCTTCATTCGATTGCATACGTTACATGGGATGAAGTGGACGCGTTCATACCAATACATGGCTTAGTCGTCCATTCTGACTACCTTCTTTCATCGGATGATCAAATCATTGATCAGATAAAACATTTGTCCCCAATCTATGGCTTCCTATCGAGGAAATCACTCCCGCAGTGGATACTATGCACGTTCCATGGACTCTTCATTTCATCAATGAACCCGGTCTGAAGTATTAGTATCTGCGCCTGACATTTTGCTTGGATAATTTGAAGAAAGCCAAGATACCTACAATGCATAGTGGATTAGTATTCGTGCTTTGAGATAGGTATATAAAGTCGATCTTATCTCCTCGGAGAATTTCCTTTCCTCATCCCCTTCTTTAACTATCAATTTTTCTTAGCTTTTGTCAAGGACAAGTAAGGAAGATGCGTTTCTCTACAGCTACTGCCCTTGGCATGGTCGTTGGCCAGGCCATAGCTGGTGTTTGTCCATATGCTGATGCTCAAGAGAAGAGGAGCGCTTGTCCTTATGCAGGACGAAGTGTCTCTGATACTCCAAGAGAGCATTTCCCTCGTGCTGCTAGTGGTGCAGCTCCAGGCAAAAAGGGTGTTATGTTCATGAACAGAATTGCTCCATCCGTATCTACTCTATATATCGCCAACGCAGATGGAAGCAATGAACGTGAACTTCTCGGAAACAGCTCTTCCTACGATTATCACGGAAACTTCAGTCCTGATGGAAAGTATGTTATCTTCACCACTGAACGTAACGGAGATGGACAATCGGATATCTACAGAGTCAAGATTGATGGCACCGGATTGGAGTCTTTGGTTGAAACACCATCTTTCGAAGATGCAGGTGTACTTTCACCCGATGGAACAACACTTGCTTATGTATCCACCCAAGGAAACTTCACAGCAAACATCTGGGTTAAGGATCTCACTACAGGAGTTGCCTTTAACCTAACCAACACACCCACCACAGCTGGTGACAATGCCCTTCCAGATGGTCATTTCCGTCCTTCTTTCTCGCCTGATGGAGAGTGGATTGCATTTTCCTCCGACCGTAACACCGCCTGGACCGGACACAGTAACGGTACCGGTTGGGAACACACCCAAGAACTTTCCGTCTACAAGATCCGACCAAACGGATCCGACTTCTCCCAAGTTGTCACCAAAGCTGGTTACTCTCTTGGGTCGCCAAAATGGAGCCCAGACGGATCCCGAATTATCTTCTATGAGATGACCAGAGAGAACACCTACAACGCCCACATGACCTCTGTCAACAGTGCAGAGACACAGATCGCATCCGTAGATGTTGCTACCGGACTCGATTATGTTTACCATACCTCTGGAGTTGGATGCAAAGTCAATGGCCAATTCGTAACCGCCGATGTTGTCGGCTTCAATACCAAGGGTTCGACTGATGACAACATTGGTATCAACTACAACGGCACCGGCGCTGCGAACTACACCACCATCCTGGGCGATATGCGCAACCCCGCCTGGTCCCCAGACGGAACCCTGGTCATCTATGAAAAGACCGATTTCACCCCCGTCCGTGCAATGGAGAAACCCTTGTACAGTTGGGACGGCGATTTCGAATACCGCTTCACCGATGTCTTCCCCATGCTCTCCAAACAAAATAAATTGGCTATCACTCAAAAGCAACTCGGTAACTCATCCATCGTCACCATGAACGCAGATGGTACCAATGTCGATTTAGTCTTCGACGTCTTTTCCACAAACCAAACCTCATCCACAGATACTACCAGTGGTCTTGCCGGTGCATTCCAACCTTCTTGGACTGCTGATGGCGAATGGATTACCTTTGGACTCGGATACTGGTTTTTCGAAAGATCCATCGAGCCAGGTTGGCTTTATCGCGTAACAGCTAACGGTTCTTACTACGAGCAATTGACTTTCGGAGAAGCCGGTGTTTCCAATGCAGGATTCCCATCTTACTCACCCGATGGAAGCAAGATCGTTTACAGAGAGTGTGGCCCTGCTCCTTTGTACTGCATCGGTCTCCGCATTCTGAACCTTGCTGATGGTACCGTCACAAACTTGACCGATACCTGGGACAACACTCCCGGTTGGTCTCCAGACGGAGAGCGCATCGTTTTCACCCGTCGTAACCATCTTAACTTCGATGATCTCTCAGCTACCGATTCCTACGACGTTTACACTATCTTCCCTAACGGAACTGGCCTTACACAACTCACAACCAGTGGAGCCAACGACGCCCACGCCGTTTGGTCCGCCGATGGAAGAATCTTGTACAGCAGTGGAATGTATGGTTTCAGAGAGGAGAGTCCTCTTTACGATAATGCCTTCCAGCCTTATGGACAAATTATCTCGATGAACTCTGATGGGTCAAACAAGACTATGTTGACTGACAGTATGTGGGAGGATAGTATGCCTCTTTACGTTCTCAATGATGAGTTTTAGATAGAGGAAGATAATGAGGGATGAGATGGTTATGAATTTGTAATGAGAGGAGGAAAAATGGAAACTGAGAACGAAAAGTAGAGGAGAGGAGGAAAATTATGATTCTTGTTACTTAGGTTTTTTCAGCGAATATCCAAATTCAATTTCTTCATGCTATTACTAAATATTCTATCTATTCCATAAAGTGAATTTCTAATGCCTATATCAGCCCTACCTATACAAATGTATCTTTTCATTTTCATTTTCCCAATCGTCAATTCTCACATGAGCATCATACGCATGCACCCTTCCACAAACAAATCCATCTACGTACCCATAACCATCACCATCAGACTCCCCCTTCCGACTCCTGAACCCCCCATCTCCCTCCCCATCGCCAAATCATTACCCACACATCTCGGACTCCGAAGTCAACCCCGAAGTCCCGAAAGTGCCCCCCTCCCCGCTATTCTCCCGCCAAGAACAAGAACTACTTCCCTATCCAGATCTACCACAAATCAAGCAATGAATACCCAGCAGACGATCTTCATTGCCGAGTACACCCAATACACTCATGCATGCATGCATGTCTGAGCCTCTACCAAAAAAATATTTCAGAAAGGAAGGGGGCGCAGACCCGCAGTCTTGTTTGCTTCGGGATCTATTCGTTTCATGTTCGGGACCGAGGGTTTGGGGGATAGAGGGAGGATAGAGGATGCGTGGATGGTTTTATGGGAATGGGATGGGATGGGAATTGCATGGGTTTAGTTTTTGTGCGTGTGTGTGTGTGTGTGTGTGAGAGGGAGAGAGAGATTTCGTGTACGTATGTATTCAAGGTTGGGATTTATTCTGGGGAAAATGGATCAAGATTGAATGGCGGTCTGGTGGACGTGCGGAATGATACCTATGAGAACGGTCCCCGGCGATTCTACGTCATGATGTTGAGATGATGCTGGTAGGGAGACTTGTCGTTTTGGAAGACGATTTTAGGTTAATTTTGGAGCTCGGATGGTGAATGATGATTTGTTTATTAATGGATAGCTGACGAATGGAAGGGGGCTGTGTTCATGTTATGTCATATGAGATGAGATAAGATGATTCGACGGTCAGATTAGGATATTTATTAGACTTTCGTTTAGGGGGAGGTGGGATAAGAGAAGAGGAGATCCAACTCCAATTCCAAACTCCGAATATGAATTTCTCATATTATCAAATCAAAACTTGGATATGGAGGGGGAAAATCATGAAGAAGACCGGCTTTGAAGACCCCTATTGTATTGTATAGTGGTACAACTTATGAGTATTCCTTTGAGATTCGTAGAGGCACAGAGATCACATCGGGATCATTATGCAGTATCTCTGGCATCTTCTTAATTTATATTTCCCTATTTTCTATAGCAGAATTGTGATCTATTTTCCTGCCAATAGCGTGGTGCGGACCTGGTGAGTTCGTACGGTACATGCATGGTAAGTAAGTAAGTAATCTTTTATTTGTGATATATTGCTACTTTGGATTATGAATAGATACTAACTGGTTCACTTGAGTTTCGCACTCGCAAATATTCATTTTTCATCACTTACCGACTAATACTAACGGAATTTGTGAGTTTCATTTCGCCTCGAGAAATTCTGGAAATCTATCTACTTTTCATCTTGATGCTGACTTTAGTTCTAGATTCTAACGCTACAGCACAACGTATCATACCACATCAAAGATTCCTTCTATATGCTGTCTATATGAAATATCACAGAAGACGTACCCGATCAGGCGTCACATATGACTGAGGGCTACAGTGGTATGGATGGTAACGATCGTGATCATAATCATGATTACGAAAAAGTATTCTGCGGGCATTATCATGGTATTCACTATTCAGTCAATAGAAATATATAAAGAGTACAATCGTGGTACCAATGCCAAGTAGCAAGGAGGAAAAAGAATAAGAGCGATAGATTTGATGATCAAACGCTCTGCGCGCAATACTCTGGTGCTCAGCCTACAAGCTTTCGACTCGATGGTACAAAATAAGGAGGATAGAAGATGCAAAATTGCATGATCTCAATATTTTTATTGGAGAACTCACCAGTAGGAGGCCTATAGAGTATTATTATAAGCTCTCTCTCTCTCTATGAACTATTCACCGGGTGCAATACTCCAGAAAAGACAAAATTTCCCCCTGAAAACTGGTGGAAATTTTCTTGGCATTCTAATCCAAATTAATAATTTATTAACTTAGGATATTGAGAAAAACTCAAGTCGATTGATTGAACTTGATTCTCCTCTTTCTCCTCTCCTCGTGTTTCTAGACAATCAAGTGTTTTGTTTCTACGAAGTATAGTAACCTCCTACTGAAGGTACACCACATTTATCCTTTCCATATTCTTATTTTCTTTCTTTCCCTTATAACTCCCTAATTACCTTTTCCAAATCCTCCATATTCTCCAAATACGCATCATTTTCGCGTTTAATCACCTCCTGATCATCATTAATATCATCTGTCCACCTCCTACAAAAATAAAAAATCAGCAAACAATTTCTCAAATCCCCAAAACCCAACACAAAAAACCCAAGACAAACCAACCCACTAACCTCACATAAACCGTCCTCATCCCCACCTCCCTCGCCCCTTTCAAATCACTCGTATGCGCCGCCACCATGACACATTCCTCCGGCTGCAACCCCAAAACCCGCATCACCCACTCATAACTCCCTCTTTCCGGTTTATAAACCCCCACCAACTGACTCGAAAACAACATCTCAAAAACTCCCTTCAATCCCGCTGCTTTCACTAACTCAAGCTGTAATCGTGTAGATCCGTTTGCATGAACGAAAAGCTCATATTCATTCCCATCAGAAAGAGATGTCAGCGCGGGAAGAACATCAGGCCAGGGGATTTGATGATGCCATGCCTGGATGAGGGAGTCTTTGATGGGGGGAGTGAAGGAGGAAGACCAGGGAGAATAGAGGGGGGTGAGGAGGAGAGTTTCTAGGGTGGAGAGATGTGTGAAATCGATGTTTTCCACGGGGAGATTGTGGGAGATGCGAAAGGTGTTGGCATCGAAATAGGATTGGCGCCATTGGAGGAGGAAATCAGATTGGATTTTTGAAGTGAGTGAGGGGGGGTAGGAGGGATGGGAGGGAAGGGGCGGAAGATGGGGGAGGAGTGAGGCGTGCCAGTTCAGACATGTACCCATGAAATCGAAGAGAATGGCGCGGATTTTTGAGGGTTTCGTGGAGAGTGTCATTTTTTTTTGTATTTATTTCTTATGTTTAAGAACTAATTTCCCTCGATGAGGATTACGATGGAAGTTGAAGGTGGAATTGAGTAGCAAATGGTTATGGAAGATTTTGTATCATCACTTGATGTATCGAAACCATTATTCATATATCATTCGTGAAACAAGTCTATATTTATATTCCCTTTCAATTCCCGCTTTGTCATGAATACAATTGGTGTCAACAACATCAAAAGGCGCTGAGTGCGCCCTTCGCTTGAGCAGCAGATTGAATGATGTCATTCATGCTGACAATTCCGCAAAGATGTATCGTTACCTACCTACCTAACTACCTGCCATGTATTAATATCTCGCTCCCTTTCTTCAACCATCCAAGATATACAATGAGATTCACCTAAATATTTCCATCTCTCACCAAAAGCAAAACATCCAAATCCCATCTGAATTACACATCTCACACTTCCCACACGACAATCTCACAACACCGCATGGGGTTTGGATCAGCGGAAACAAGAAGCGAGCATTAGCTATGTACTATACAAACATGCGAGATACTTACACCAGATGTTGGATCCACGGATGAACCATGAAAATATACCAAATCTGATATATTATGCCGACTCCAACATATTGGTTCTAAAAGTTTGTTCGGTACCTAGGTAGGTACCTAGGTAGGTAGTTATCTGATTCCGATTCGGTGGGAAAAATAAGTTGGTATCTAGGTATCCATTTGCAATGCCGCAAATACCAGTTGTTGGTAAGCTTACTTTACAACAATGCTATATCCAAATTATCTAACTGAGAGTTTCTGTCCCAGGGAAACACTACATTTAGTCCTGCCTCAGATGTAATACTTATCAACAGCCCTCTATTCCTCTGACTCTATCTCTATCCCATTCCAACCATCTTCAAATCTTCATATCCTCCAACTCAACTCCCCAACGATCCCACCCCATTCTACACTCCACCTACCATGCCCACTCCCCTCGAAATCCAAACCCAACTCACCCCCCTCCTCTCAAGATGGCGAGAATAACCTAGCCCCCACATCATCCTCATCATCCAAGTAGCCCACGAATCCAACGTTCAGAAAATCGTAAGTGTTCAGAATTCTTCCTCATTCCCATTCCATCCAACACAACTCTATATACATATTACACATCCAGTATACTCCTCATCCACCTACTTCATGTACCAACACAAACCAGAGGTTCGCTACGCCAACCAAAATTTCACCCCCTACATCGCTCGAGCCGGTGGTCACGATGTAACCCATGCTCTCGGGCAAGCAAAGGACGCGATCCAGATTGATTTTCGCTCCATGAACCACATCACAATTGCGGAAGATGGACAACTGCCATAATTGGCGGGGGGTGCGAATGTGAAAGACGTTGTTGATACACTTACTCGATTAGGAGAACGAACAGGGAAATTCACATTTCTAAGCCATGTCCAGCCAACCAAGAAAATCCGAACTAACAACCCGATCAGTAACCGGTATATGCGAGCTCGTCGGATTCTCCGCGCCCACTCTCGGGGGTGGTCATGGTTGGCTTCAGGGCCAATACGGACCCATGGCCGACCAGGTAATATCCGCCCGTCTCTTGCTTCCTTCTGGCGAACTTGTCACTGTATCGGGAACTCTTATCCGGATTTATTTTGGGCCATTAGAGGCGCAGGACATAATTTTGGGCTGGTGATGGAATGAGAATATTGTGTTTATGATGATAATGCCCCATTGTGATCTTATGAAATCTTTATTTATTCGGGGGATAAACTTGAGCTCTCTACGAAGAGGCGAATAGATTGTTACGAGATCAACCAGCGGAGCTGGTTGATTGGGGATATATTATCAAGGGTGCAGAGATAGATCCAGATCATGTTAGTCATTTACCCGACGAAATTCACTTGGGATTGTGTGAAAGCTAACAATCTAGCAGCCGGTACTGTGCTTCGGTATCATCTATAACGGCTTCCCCGAAAAAGCCAATCAATATGCCAGACCATTTCATGACATTGAACCACTTAGTGTACAGACAAGTCAGGGATCACTACACGACCTTGCCGTCGTCACATTCCAGGACGCGGATGGTCCAGGATGCGCTTACGGGATGACATCCCTTCGATACCCTATCGGGTTGAAATCATACAATGCGACGGCCGTCAGACAGGTATACAACGAGATCGACTCAACATTCCGCCAAGTTCCAGAGATAGCTGGTTCATTTTTCTTGCTCGAAGGCTACTCGATTCAAGCAGTTAAAGCCATCGATGCAGCAAGTAAGGCATTTCCGCACCGAGATGATAATATCTTGGTTACATCGTACGTCATGTATGCGCCTGACTCGAACATCGACCCGATAGCAAAGGAATTTGGTGAAAAGCTTCGAAAATACTTGTTGGATGGAAGCGATGATCCAGAACATCTCCGCGCCTACGTCAACTATGCCAATGGCGATGAGTCTTCACAGGCGATCTATGGGTGGGAGACATGGAGATTGGAGAAACTGAAGAAACTTAAAGCTCAGTGGGACCCTAAGAATACCATGCGGTATTATGTTCCTATTGAACAGAGCATCAACTAGTTCTTAAAACTAGCTTAGAACTGTATTGTAAAATCGTCCAAAGGTAGTCAAAGAATCAGTATTGGCAAGAAGCTTGCTGATGATTGCTGTGCCGCGTACCATTGGGACTGTGCATTCTGTAAAAGAAGATATACTTACCAAAAAATGCCAACCTAAAACCCTCCCATTGAAGTTTAATTTCATGATCCTATCTAGTATATCCCGAGTTACTTAACCAATACGAAGATATTATAACTAAATAATGTCGTGATTACACTATAACCACTACAAAGCCGACAATAGGGAAGAAGAAAAAAAGATCTCACGAACTTCATCTAAAGGCCAGGCCGAGCCAAACCAAGCTAGAATACCAGAACGAGATTTCAAGTCATCGACGTCAAATCATCGACGTCAATCATCAACGTCAAATTCATGGACAATGACATATCTAGCCATCAAAGTTCCATCAAAGATCAAAGATTCAAACTTTCTTCAAACTCTCTTCAGACTTCCCGATATATATGACACTGTCTCTGATGACGAAATACTCAAAACTCGATTTGAAGCCCAATCATCGACGTCAAATCATCACCATCACTTCATCCATCAAAAAATGACACATCCAACCCAACACCAAAATATCAAACTTTTTCCTCTCCAAACCTTCATCAAACTTTCACAATAGATATTATATGCGAGTGTCACTCACTCACTGTCTCTGATGACGAAACACGGAAACTCAAAACTTTCCTCTCAAAAACAACCCCCGTCCCATGTCCAAATCTCAATCCCTGTTCCCAATTGAAATATTGAATTCAATTTAAAGTTTCAACGTTGTTTGCTCCAATTATTCTCTCTACCGATATATCGATTCGAAGATTCGAAAAAGCCGGTACAGTACAACTTACAAGTGTACGATGAAATGTCTGTGAGCTCACGGGTGTGATGATAATCTCCGAAGTATTGTGGATGGGGAAGTGACTGGAGGGAGGAATGAGATGTAAAATTGCTGGATAGGGATATAGGGATGGGGGATGCATATAGGGATGCATATGGATTGGAAATTGGGGAGAGGGGGTGGACTTTTCTGGATGTTTTTGGGTTTGTTTTTGGTGATGATTTGAGGATTGAGAATTGGGAATTGGGGAATCGATGTTGTGTAGGATGATGTGTCTTTTCTCGTATCCAGCACAAGCACAAGCACAAGCACAACCAATTCTTCACCAAGTCCTTGAGTAAAAAATGAAGATATCCCCACCCACTCACCCACCTACCAACCTACCTACCGACCTATCCAATCATCAATTCAAAAACTCCCCTCCAAAAAAGCTTACAACCTCTCGAGTTCTCTACTCGTAGACAGCAAGTAAAACCAAAGCAAAGCAAGCCCGCAATCCTTGCATCAAAATTGACACACACCATGCACATCCCTTCCCCATCAAGCGTGACTTTTCACCAAGGTTTTCTCCCAAACCTCGCCAAGCCCTACCCACTAGCCCATCGGAGATAAACGACCAAAAAGGAAACGAGCAACATGATAAGGCAATTTTACCCTGGAGGAAAGAATTCGCGTGCGCCGGGAATGAGCACAATGCTCCGGGAGAGCTTTTTGGAGTGAAGGGGGCACTTTTTGGTCCGGTCGGTGTATGTACGTACCTACTTCATGCGTCTTGTGTTGAGTTTTGAGCCGAGCTTGGGGAGGTGGGTTTTTATTGGTTTTTCATTTATCGGAATGGTATTATGTATCGGTGCGCGCTGCGGTGATGGTTTATTGCAATTTATGGGAATGATTGGGGATAGAGTTTGACTTTTGGAGCAGAGCATACGCCCGTCATGGTGTCAATCTTGCTGACAGGAAAGTGTAATAGATTGGGAGCCGAGTAAGTAGGTAGGCAAAGAAAGTAAATAGAAAAGGCTCTGAGCGTATACGAAGTATAGGTATCACCCGTAGTCTGTTCTATAAAATTCTGATGCGTGGTGTTTACTTGCTACAAGACGACAGACAGACAATTGCTCAGACATTTTTGACGGAGCATACATGCTGCAGATGTAGTCTGTAGTCTGTAGTCTCGTCACACGAGTTAATGACTCGATGATACTTCCTTCCAACTCCTTGTACTGCTTGCTGTATAGTGGATGGGTCCATCGTACATACATCCGTCGCGAAGGATCAGCTCATCGCACATCCCATAGGCTGATGCGCAAACCAACCAACAAACCGTAGCAACGCGGGGTTGAGCGAAGCAAGAAAAAGCGAAAAGGGATTTCCTCTGACCATATTTCACGAGTCGTTGAACCGCAGCGGTTGGAGCTTGGAAAACCCTTCTAGGCTTTCTCAGGAGTCAGGTCAGCTTTTTTAGCCCGAAGCCCGTGTGGCGGGTTCGAGGATGCATTTCGACCGTTCGGTTGTGGGATCGTCAACGCCTTCGATTCATCCGTGCTGTTGGATATTGGTCACCTGGGAGTAAAAGATTGGTAGATGATCGTGGAGAGAGCTAATGAGTACGGTAATTGGGTGCGTGATAGCTTCTGGAAGATCTATCTCATCTTGAAATTTGAAGTTTTACTATCGTTGTGTGCTTCGATTCGAATATTGTTTGTGCAAGGGAAGAAAAGTTGATAATGAGGTGGTGATACAAAATGCAGCCATACACTGCCACGAGGATTAGATTGCCCATGTCCCTGTGGTTGTATAATCCGGCATGCGACTCTTTTACTGATGCATTGTTACCTTTTTACGTGTCAGACTACAATTCGGATGGGAAATGTGATGTAAGTACCGTACCTACAGGAATGCACTCCGCAAGCTTATGCATTGGAATTATTGATGTAGATGAGCTGTTCGCTTAGAGAAAAAAGAAGAAGAAATTTGAGATTGTTGAGTGATGCTTCAGTGGATAGACAGACGATTATGGCATCGTGATTCGCGATAATCTTGGTCTCTTCTCGAACATTGATCAAGGCTAATAAGTACCTAGTAACTGGAACAAGTTTATTACTGTCTGACAATTCCCCTTCCTTCAACCAATAAAACTAATGGGAAGGAGAGGAGCAAGGGAGTACGTTTGGGTTTCTTATATATCTACATGTGTCTATAGCATGATTGGCTTAATTTAGATATAGGAATCACCAAGCAAAGTAAAGTAGTAACCTGTCACCCTGTGCCCCAGATGCATGCCCAGGTTTGGAGGCTTTTCGGGATTCAGGGTGACGACTTGAGAGGTATCGTCGGGGCGGTTGAAGGCTTACTCTAAGGGCAAGCCTAATGGGTGCATGCTTAAATGAGCCTGGGGAAAAAATGTACGAATCCAAACTTGCACTGCTGAAATGATCAAGGTTGTTACCCATGAATGTCAAAATTACAAGGAAGATACCAAACATGAATCGATATTAGTATATTTTCTCGTACCTTGATCCTACGGGACTTCCCTCTCTCGTCATCCCAGAAATTGTTACCGACTCTCCATTCATAGCTCATAGCTTGTGTGTAGGTTGTAGGTGGTATTGAACATGATTTTCTGTAAATCATAGCCAGAAAATCATAAGAACAGTCAGTCCATCTTTCTTTCGCCTTCTTCCAATCCCCATCATGAGTAAAGAGTGAACCCTGAAAAGCCCTAACAGTAGCATAGATAGGTACGAGCACGGGTGTAGGTAAACTAAAACCCTATGTGTATATTTTATGCCATGCATCAAACAGCTGTACAAAAATCGACCGGGACCTCATGCATGCATGAACATTGAAATGTTTCCCTCCAGCTACATTTGGTAGATACCTAGGTACCTACTACCTAGTAGTACATTGATCGACCAGCCGGGTTCTTCAGGTCCCTGACTCCCTGGACGTTAATAAGGTTCGTTCTAGATCCAGAAGAAAAACACAATTAGCGTACACTCTGACTCTTTTTTCCCTCTGCCTCTCTTGTTTCGTCTCATTGCCCAAGTTCCTCCCTCACGAGCTTTCGTACATGATGCATCTGATGAAATGTCATCGATTCTTGATCTCGTACCTGATTTGTGGATTTAAGTTTTGGAGATGTGGATTCTTGGGTTTGAATTGTGGATTCAGAGGGTGTCCACTGTCAAGAGTCAAGGTCAAGAGTCAAGGTCAAGACTCAAGGTCAAGACTCAAGTCTCAAGTCTCAAGTTTTTTTTCAGAAGAATATTGGTTCATCTCGTAAGTCGCAGCTAGAGTTTGAAGATTTGAAGCCAATGATTGAATGATGTGACGACCTACTACATAGATAGCGAGGTAGTGTAGTTAAGGGAGGAAGAATAGTTAGTAATGAGTATTGTATTGAGGGAAAGTTGAGGCATTCTCCGTCTCGTACCGTACCGTAGACTTGTAGTAGCGTGCGCTTGTAGAACTTAGATGATCGATCCGGATGTGTTAGTATTGTGGCAATTGTAATCAGGAGTATTGGTATGTGCCGAGTGCTGATTGATACCTGAGTAGTTTGACACGTCGAGTGAAATGAAGGAGGGAAAGAGAGGATGAGATGCAAAATGGATTGCAATGGATTGAATACCTACATACAGACGGACAGACGGACAGACAGACAGACAGACAGACAGACATACATACATACAGACATACATACAGACATACATACATACAGACATACATACAGACATACATACTCTGTGCTTAGCTAGTAAACACCGACCTAGTAGCCACATGACTAACGCAACTAAAGTTACGACGAGTGTATGCTACCCATATACTCCGTACATCTACATCACAGCTTAATAAACATATGGCAGGAGAAACAAGAAACGAACGAGGGGCTGAATGATTATTATTAGTGAGGTCAGAATCGTCAGATCAACGAGGTCTATTTTATTTTTATTTTGCTTGGGGAAGGAGTATTAAGAATCAAGAACTTGATTTGTTTTTTTAATCAATTCATCATCCCTTGGGTCTGTTTTTACTTTATTTTTACAAAATTACCTCTTCCTGTTATAATCTTGAATCCATATTGGACGAGATCCTATCAAGGGAATACAATCAATCAATCAAT